GGGGGGGGGGGGGGGGTAAGAATCAGACCAAGAATCTATAAGCAAGACAAGAAAGACTACAAAATGTGCCCCTTTTATAAGGCTTTTTAATTTCTTCAACAGTTTGATCCTTCAAGTTGACAAGAAATAACATGCATGAAACCCAATCTACTAACAACTCTTCATGAGAAAAATCCCTAGAATTCGATTACTAGTTTTGCTTCCGTCATGCAAATTAACGACGGGAATCCATAATAAAACATATAATAATGATTACCAAGCCATATTAGGATTTAATAGTGGTACCGTGCTCAAAAGATCATACACCGGATGCTTTGGCAGAAACATCATCTTCGTCTTCCTCGTCACCGTCAAGGTTCTTCTTAATTTCAATACGTGGTGGAGCATTGTTAACCCCAGTTACTGATTGTTGATAAAGAACACCACCAGCAATGGTAAAAAGCAAACATAGCAGCCCGAATGGACTCGCATGTTTATCCCAGATGACGACATTAATAGCGACTGTAAGAAACTTATTTACCACGCCCGTCACTGTAAAAGCAGTGGCAGATATTGCCTTCCTTGCAGCGAATCCGAAGAAACTAATTAGCAAGCCAAACATGCAAGAGAGCAAAACTGCAAAGAACGCAACAGGGTTGAATAGGTTCCCCAGACCAGATCCTATAGAGGCAAATACATCTGCATACTCCCCTGTAATGATCAAAAACAGGGGAGCCATCATCAGCGAGAGCAAGTTGTTATACAGCACGAATCCCCAAGTGTTCAGCCCAAGATTGGTAACCATGTGTTTGATGTAAACCATTTCGGTAGTAATGGTGACCAGATAAGCACATGCCCAAGAATATGCGGTCAGGGTGAAACCCGAATCAGTCGCGACATATCCGACCGCTCCTCCCAATATAATGACCAGTGACAGAAACGTGAGCTTGGACGGGCACGGTTGCTTCCGGAAAGCTGTATCCGCGAGGGCGACTAGAAGAGGGGTGCACGATCTGAACACTATGAATGTGTCGACATTGGCATGCCTCAAAAGGTTTGTGTTTGTGAAAATCGCCAAGAAAAAAACAAAGGCAGCAGGCAAGAATTTCTTGGCAGTTTCCCAGTTAAATGCATCGTGGTGCAACAACCCTAGCTTCCCCAAACCCCAAACGCCAAAAGCTGAAGTGAAGTACTGCAATGCAGTGAGGAGCCCTGGGTAGTTAAAGTGGGTTATTGCAAACTTGTTGATCACTGCAAGCAAGCTAGAACATAAGGCATAGCCCAACACAAGACTGCTAGTGGCATACTTTTGTTTTGGGCCTTCGATTCGAGTTGCCATTTTTGCAACTACGGTAGCTTGGGAACTATTTCGCTTCCTTAAATTACCTATTTTCTCTACAATTCCACACGCTCGATCTGATTTGATATGTCTAAACCAACCTATTTTCAATGAAACTAGCAATCATGGAATTCAGCAATCTACCAGAGCAATCCAGCCATTTGTAAACCACAAAACCTGCAAATAAGCAAGCTGAACCAGAGTAAACAACTTAGATTGTTAAAATATCTACCAAAGCTTAATTAAAATATTTTAATTGAATATGAATTATTACTAGGCATTTTCTTAGGTCAAAGATAAACTGCTTCACATATTTCCTGACTGAACTATTTTTAAATTTTAATCCCTCCACAACATTCATCATGTCGGCTTACCAAATGCACAAGCACTTCCAGTGGATCATTCCTCATAATCCAAGTTAGCTAGCTATACTAATCATTAATGGGGTTTCCGTGTTTTTCCTTATAAAATGTTCCTAGAAGAAAAAAAATAAGTACAGTCATTTTCCATGATGAGATGTTAAGAAAAAAGAAGAAACAAATACAGAATTGAGCTTTAACCACAACGAACCCATATCCACACATATTGTTGGCTCAATTATACTAAAGTATACACATATGCTCATATATTGCAGGAAAGCACAACAATAACATTCTTCAACACTATTCAAACTAGAAAAGCCAGAAGGGAAATGAACATGTTAATACAATCCGGAGAATTAAAGAGCAAAATGCCAAAATGTGTATGTCATATGACTATATGAACATACATCTGATTCTAAAGTAAATCATGAAAAAAATATGTGCCATCACCTAGTAAGCGATATGTATTTTATTAACAAATTTCATAATGTTACTATTCTTTTCTTAGAAAGTTAGAAGGCTTACTATTAACAGGATCAAATTTAATTGTTTCCACTTATTTATCTAATCTTATAAATTTTGATGTAGTTTTCAAAGAAACATACCAATCGTTTGCCTTAAAAGAAGTGCTGAAACCAAATGAAGCAAGAACTTCAATATAAATGATGTGGAATTGTGGAGTGCTAAATAAATCTTTATGGACTAAACATACACAACTAAACAATAATTCAACTCACGATTTCTATTTCACAGCAAAATAATACCAATATTGTATCTGGAGTGTTATCTGTACTAGAAAAAATTAATTTACATTATTAAAATACTTCACAATTAATTAAACAAAGAAATTGAAAGATTTAGTCTAATGAAGAAATTAGTTGATTCAAGGTGAATTGGGAAATTACTTCTAGCACTATTGATATTACTCATCAGCAAAAATGTCCATAAATTTTTCAAATTTGGTCTGCTAGGAGACTCAAAATGGATTATTGTGCGGGAGTGAGAAAAATTGATTGACAATTGATAGAAACAAGAGGGCCTAATTGTCTAAAAGTCTAAACAATTAAAACAAACGCAGGGTATTTACCTCGAGAAAACAAATCCAATGAAGAAAATGATTGAGGTGGAGGAACGGATTAATTACATTAGATGAGATGGAGGCGAGCAGGCGGAGCTGCGGTGATTTACCTTGACATGCTAACCCGGTCGGCGGCGACGGCGGCGTCTGGGCGACAGTGGAGTTCGGCCTTGGCTTCTTTCTCTCTGAGACTCTGACCGTCCGCGTGTGTTGACTGGCCCGTCTGGATGGTGGTGGTAGTTTGGGATTAGGTTGGAGAGAATTTACTCCTTGATTGGTTTTTTCCATATCTCCGATCGAGCCAAAATTTTATCATTTTTTGGCTTTGGGGTGTGATGGAATAAATCAAAATGGATCTCTAAATTGTCTGCGCTTCTTTATTTAACGAAGTAGCAGTTAGTCAAGTAATACAACTTTCGATATTGAGCCGGGGGTCTCTTTGGAAACAGTCTCTCTACTTTCGAGTAGGGGTAAGGTCTGCGTACACACACCCTCTCTAGACCTTACTCATGTGGGATTTAACTGGGTTGTTGTTGTTGTTATTTAATTGACGGAGTAATTTTTTTTTAAAGAGAAAACTACTTGCACTGTTGCACATCAAGTTATCAACATAAAATACACCAAATATACACTACATTTTCCCTATATAAAAAAATCCCTCCTTTTCTAAATAAATTACATTTTACACAAAACAAAATAAAATCTTAAATTTTTTCAATTCTCTTTATTCAAAAGTTCTACTTCTTTCGTCTATGAAAAACTTCTTACTTTCCTTTTTGGTTCGTCCACATATAAACTTTCTATTTCTTTTTTTGGCAAATTCTTTTTACTAAAAAATCATGAGCAATGCTAGGGGTACACCTTTTAGGTGTACCCCACCCCTTTCTCCACCATTTATTTTTACTCCATTTTTTTATTTAATTTTTTTATTCTCTTACCCATTTTTTTGGTAATGAAGGGGGTGGGGGGCAAATAGGGTACACCAAAGTGTACCCTTAGCATTTTTCAGAAATCATTTATACCCTTTGGCCTAAGTTTTTATATCACCCTTAATTTCTAAAAACTACTACTAGGTACCTTCTATTTTGCAATAGTGACTGTCGGGTGCCTCTAGTTTTTAAAATATACTATGTGGTACCTTAAAATATTCGAAAACTTATTCAAGGTGATTTTCCATCTATCCCTGCCTTTGCTACTACTTGCTTCGTCATTTCTACACCATCATCATATCACCATCACATCATCATTATTATCATCTCCTTCTTCTTCTTCTTGCTTCATCTTCCTCCTGCTTCATTATTCAAAAACGCGCATCAACAGCTAAGATCCGCCACTTCGCCGTCTTCAATTCTTCAAGCTTCCATCGGCTTTCAGCAATGTATAAGTGCTTTAGCCACCCCTTTTCCTCGATTAACCTATCTATCTTACATGCATCCATCCACACTGAGCATATAAAGTCAATACACTAATACTTTTAGATATGAAATCATGTTTGTCCTGTTGGCGAGCTCATCACTAGTACTACTGACATATGTCATAGTGCCAGCCTCCGCCTGTAACTTCTACCAGGACACGCAGTTGAGTTTGGTGTTTGGCGGAAACGAATGCATTAATGTTCTGAAGGCAGCCACCTACTCAACCTCACCTTGGACCATTCATCCGGCTCTGGCTTTCAATCCAAGGGAAAATGGACAAAGAGAAGCGTTACCAACCCTAGTTCAACCCCACTGCCGCCTTCCACAACTACTCCATTGTATTGAATCCTCATCGCATCATCTAAGCATAAGCATGATAAGCTTTAATTTATGAGGTTGATTTTAATGACATTGGGAACCAATGTCATGGAATGACCTGAAGAATTTGATTCCAAAGTCAAAATTAACTTGATTGGTGGATGCAATTGAAGGGGGTGGGGGGTGTGTTCGGGTCGGGGCAGGGTGAGGGGGTTTAGCGGGAGCTAGGGGGTAGGAACCATCATTTTTATGAATGGGACACCGGAGCACCCCCGGGTAATCCCATGACATTGGTTCCCAAGGGGTTAATTTATATGTAGTACTTGCGTGTGCCTAGATAGAATATCTAAATTCACTGGTATCATTTTCTTCTTCATTCTAAATAATGAAGCAGGATGATGTTAAATTGATGATGATAGAAAGTACTAATCTTACATTATAACTAAGTATATTACTTTTTCATAATTTGTGGTAAAATGGTATTATAACTTGACCAAATTATTTTTTATCGTAATTTTTAATGATCAAATAAATAAAGCATCTCTTGTTCATACATATAACTTTTGATGTCGTTTTTTATAGTGTGTGTTTCTAAATAGAACATCGGGCATTTCGATTAATTGTTTGAAAACTAATTTTGGTCAAATAACATTATTTTGAAAATAAAGCTTTGTTTGTGATCAAAATTTTTAATTAACGATAATGTTTTGGATAAATTTTTAATATATTGGTTAATTTTGAAAGTGCTACCATTAAACTTTGTGATTGGTTAATTTATTACAAACGTTAAACGATGATAATCTTCTCATATATCTTTTCAAAAGTACTTCATAAGTTTCTGAATTATTTACCGTGTTTACTTGATTCTAATATATTTTTGAAAATGCTCTATAGGTCTCTAAATTAGTTTTAATTTCTACCAGGTCTATATACTTTTTAAATGATGCTTTAGTAGTCCCTTCAACGGAATTTTTCAAATCAAGTGTTCAAATTTTTTTTTAAATAACACGCAAGTTCAAAAAATTATGATATAACGTCAATTCCCACACTAATTTTAAGAGATTTGGTCTAAAAAGCACAAAATACACCACTAATGCACCAATTAAAAAGAATAGGGATCTGATAAATACTAAAAATAATTTTAAAACGTGGGAGGTACTTTCAAAATATATAAAGTCCTTGTAAATATTTAAAATAACTTAAGGGCTTAAAAAGCATCTTTAAAAAAATATATAAGGACCTTGTAAGCATTTTGCCAAACTTCAAACGAAATATTCGATTAAACTGAAAATAGTTTATTTGATTGGGGGAAAATATCTTTTAATAAAAATATTTTCCAAAAGAAAATGATATTCCTCCCATATTTTCATTGTTTAAGAGGTGTTCTGATCTCTCTGTTCCTAAAACATGTCAATGGTTTAATTTTTTTGTCAAACTGTGACACCATTTTACCACGAACTAAATATAGTTAAAAAAATTAATAAATATTTTAAAATTTTAATATTTCAAAATTATATTTTAAAATAATCTCAATTTTATTAAATTTACATTGTAATTAAGTATATTTTTTTAATAATTTGGGGTGAAGTGTCATACTCCCTCCGTCCCAAAATATTTGTCACAATTGCTTTTTCAGCCGTCGCGGGAACTTTTGTTTATTTCTATGTTTTCATTAGTTATTTGATAAAATAAAATATTTTTGACATCTCTTATTTCGAAGAACTTTTCAAGTGGTTTTTTTATATTTATATTTTATTTTTTATTTCTACTAATATGTAAATAAAATGAATTAAAAAAATTTGATATTTTACCTTAGTAATAGAAGTGTGACAAATATTTAAGAATGAATGGACTATTTTTTTCATAGAAAAAGTGAAACGGCAATCTTAAACTTGTAAATTGGAATAGTTTGAAAATGTTGTAGCGGTATGGAGGCGGAAAGTGTATGCTCCGTAATTTGGGAACGATGACGACTTTCTGTCTGTGAGGTCAACAACTCCATCAATGGATTCCTCTCCTGCGAAATTCACGCTTCTTTCATCTTTCTCCTCCGATGCCAATTTCTCCCCGAGCCTATATAAAATCCCGCCACCGCCATACCTTATCTCAGCTCAAATATCTTTTCGATTTTCTCATCCGTTTCCTATCAGCTTTGAATCCAATGGCGGAGAGTCGCAACAGTTCAAACTCCTCGGAAGATCCTCCGCCGTTCGATCCCTCAATCCCCTCGATTCCCGTTTCCTACCCGCTCAAAACCCTAGAAGAGCTCGAGTCCAGATCTTACTTCGATTCCTTCCACTTCCTGTTTAACAAGGCCTTCGTCAAGATGCCGGCGGCTGTTTCCGGCATGCTGCCGAGAAGGCCCCGGCTTCTGGTCTGCCACGACATGGCGGGAGGGTACGGCGATGATAAGTGGGTGCAGGGAGGTACTAATCCCAGCGCGTATGGTATATGGCATTGGTATTTGATGGATGTGTTTGTTTACTTCTCGCACAGTTTGGTTACTCTGCCTCCTCCTTGCTGGACCAACACTGCTCACAAGCATGGCGTTAAGGTATGAGCAAAAGCTTCTTCATCTCAATTGCATTTGAGAATTGAGAGATTTCTTCATGTTTACTAAATATGAATGATTGAATTGATATCTCCTCCCATTTTGAGTGTCTGCACAGGCATATCCATCACTAGTTTTGCTCCATCCGAAAAGAAAAGAATTATTCTTTCATATAAATTTTGTTTCAAAAATTACACAGTAAGACTCCGTTTGGTACACGAAATTCAAATTATGGAATTGGAATTGAGGACTTCAATTCCAATTCTGGTGTTTGATAGCACAAAAATTATGTGGATGTAATTGATAGTGCAAAAAATGAATTGGAATTGGCAGAATTCAATTCTATGGAATTGAATCCCATGGAATTTCAATTCCAATTCAATTCCAATTTCGTCAATTCCGTATACCAAACGGACCCTAAAAGAAAATCCATCAAATTTGGGTGGTTGAATTTGCATCTGGATGTAATTCTTATTTTATTTGGTAATTGTCATTTCAAATAAGGTTCTAGGGACTTTTATAATGGAGTGGGAAGAAGGGAAAAGTCTTGCAAACAAACTACTGTCAACAAAGGAATCAGCGTACATGTATGCCGATAGACTAACTGAGCTTGCTGTTGCTCTAGGCTTTGATGGCTGGCTGGTATGCTTTGGGTGCCAATTGAAATATTCTCTTACATTCTGGCTTCTGACCCTTGATCTATTTTAAATTTTAAATTCATTTCACAGTTTCAATTCTAGTTATGTAGCACCCATGTTATTTCATATTGTTAAATTATTTCGCCTAAAAATTTACCAAACATATAGCTGTGGTAAGAGATGAATTTCCTACATTTATTGTCCAGTCTTTAAGGTTAATACTCTTATTCTTCAGATCCTATATGCTGTTGGATTTATTTAAATTTAACATAGAATATTAAATTTGGATGTATGGATCTCAAAATGCAGTACTTTTATTCACACTAAAAGAATAATATGAACTCTATGCCTTTTGAACAAAGGGATATGTTGTCATGCTTGTATTTTCTGTAGAACTCTTTGTAGATATCTACTGTGGTCAGGTCAACTAGTGTGTGTTTTTTTACTGCCAGATTAACTTGGAAGTTGAACTTGATGTTGGAAAACTCCCTACATTGGTAGAATTCGTCAACCATTTGACCCAAACCATGCACTCCTCGGTGCCTGGATCTCTAGTAATATGGCAAGTATAAGCATGTGGTTCAATTATTATAATTACCATTATTTTTCCTTTGCTGGGAAACATTATGTAATCATTGCTTATACATTACGGCTGGGGTCTCTTGGAAATTGCCTCTCTACTTTTCAGTAGGGGTAAGGTCTGCGTACACACCCTCCACAGATCCTACTTTTTTGGGATTCTACCGAGTTGTTGTTTTTGTTGCTGCTTATGCATTACAGACTTACAGTGATGTTGCAGGTATGATAGTGTTACAACAGATGGTGAACTTAGCTGGCAAAATAAGCTTAATGAAAAAAACAAGCCTTTTTTTGATGCATGTGATGGGATATTTTTGAACTATTCATGGGAGGTATTCTTTTACCTGTCTTCTTATAATCTCAGGTTTAGCAGTAATTGTATTGGTTTCTTGTTTACTCTTCTCCAATTTTTCCCAGGAAAGTTACCCTATGGAATCGGCTTCTGTTGCTGGGGAAAGAAATTTTGATGTCTACATGGGAATTGATGTCTTTGGAAGAAATACATTTGGCGGTGGACAATGGAATGTATGTTTTTGCACTGCTTTTTTACTTTTACATTGTCTCTTAGGTTCCTTTCGGACCCTGGAAAATACTAGGGGGAAGAGGAGGGAAGTATGCAGGAAGTTTAGAAGGATTTGGGGGGGGGGGTAGAGGGTGGGAGTGTGCGTATGATTGGCTAACAATCATTTATAAATTCATGGCATTGTTGAGGTTTGAATTGAATAAACATTTGTGCAGACTAATGTAGCCCTTGATGTGATTAAGAAAGACAATGTTTCAGCAGCCATATTTGCTCCTGGATGGGTTTATGAGACTAATCAGCCACCTGATTTTCAGACTTCCCAAAATCGGTAATACTCTTTTTTTATTGGATTATTTTACTTACTTTTTTGTCATTTTTTCTTTGAACAACATTTGTTAGCTTCTTTTTACTGAATTTTTTGTTTGTCTCGAACAATTAATGGATTTTGCAATTGTATGCTCATCTGCAGTTGGTGGGGACTTGTTGAGAAATCTTGGGGCATCTCACAGAATTATCCCCAAACACTTCCATTCTACTCAAATTTTGATCGGGTAAAGTCTGAGTGTATGGGGTACTTTTATTTAATAAAGTATACCCAGATGGAGCATTTGATATGATATTTTTTATTAGGGCCATGGTTACCATATTTTTGTTGATGGGGTAAAAATACTGGATGCTCCATGGAACAACATCTCTCTACAAAGCTTACAAGTATGGTTGCTATTTTAAAGAGTTCTTTGTTTTTTTAGTCCCTTGCTATTCACTTAAGAATATTCATACTTTTCCATTGTTAGCTTCATATTCAATATTCCACGTCTCCACAGAAATGAAAAAAATGGAACAAAACAGTGGAATACCAAGAGTAATTATATAAACATTTCTATTTTTAATTCACTAGTTACTCTCATGATGATTAAACTCACTAGTCATTGTCATGTCTCTATCTTTCAGTCACTACAGTTTGGCTGAAATTGCTTTCAAAAAGCATCTGCCACGTGACAGTTATTTGAATGGAAAATATAGGGTGTCATGCGTCCCAATATACTGTCCCTGTGCGAAGTTACATTTTTTATTTTTCTGACAATAGATGGGACTACAATTCCATGCTTATGTGGCAAAATTTTCAGAATTGTGATTCCAATTGGCCCACTTTTGGAGATGCTCTAAGATGATCATAGCTCTAAGCCTCCAACATAGTTGGGAATTTAATGTCCCTAGCTTCAACTTAGTTGTGATTAAATCATAACCTAAATGGCTTTATCTTGATAAATTTATTTCAGCCATTCCTTGCTTCGGGAGAACATACAACCAGCAATATTCAAGCTTTTGTTGAGTAAGTTTAATAACTAGATATTGTTTCTTCTATTGCTTCAATTCCAATATACAGACCGATATATACGCTCCATTTCGTACACAAGACTTAACAGAGCATATAAGTACTTGAATTTTGTAGTTTCAAGGGAGAATCTTACAGCGGTGGAGGGAACATCACATTCAGAGGAACCCTTGATGACAATACTCCTTTGAAAACAAAATTATTTGAGGCAAAGCTTCTTTTTGGAGAGTCACCACTAAACATCACATATTCAGTAAGCTATTACGATCCATAGAATATGATGAATCACTGGATTAGTGCACCTGGGTAGTCTTCTAGCCTGTAATTTGTAGTTTATGATGGTGTTTTGCCTCTTTCTGTTGTTTGTGTATGTCTGCTTTCTGTGTTTCGAGTCTTGTTATACTTATCTGTCTTGTGTTCGTGCTCTTGCTTAGTCGCTTAGCTTATGCTAATGTGTTTTCATCATCCCTACATTTGTTGATGTACTGGTTATGAGAATGTTTGAAGTTTGTTTGTTAAAGTTTGATGTTTTAGTACAATCTCTTGCTCATCCCTGAATTGATACAGGTAAAATCCAGCGGAGGGTCTCTATTAGGACTTACCCTTCTCTTCTCTAACGACTCCAAGAAGAAAAAGTCCATATTATTGGCACCGGGGTCCAGCCCCTCATTGCTTACCCACAACCATTTAGCAGCACATTTTGACACCATCATTATGCCACATCGCGTTGAAAAGACAGGACGTGAACTGGGATGGGATGTTCTAGAAAGTTCCATAGCAATGGATGGATACACACTAACTGAAATCGGCGCCATATGCTATAAGCTAGAGAAAGCAAGTTCTGGGTCATCAGAATACAATGCAGTTCTTGGTCATATTTCAATTAGAACTCTAGAAACAACCTCTTCTTCAAGATCCCCACCAAAAGCAAATTCATGGGTCATTGAGAGTAGATATATCAAATGGTCATCTGGTTCACAAGGAACCAGGAAACTTAACATGATGCTTGCATGGAAGCTGCTGGAACACACAAGTGTTACTGATCTGTGTTTGGAGTATAAAGTATATGTCAAGAAAATGACCAAATCATCGGACGAGGAAGAAGAACAAGTCTACCTTGGGGCTGCAATGGTCGAGGCATTTTATGTTTCTGATCTGCAAGTTCCAGATGGAGTGTCTGCTCTTGAATTCATCGTCCAAGTCAGCATGGACGGAATCTCTCAGAAGCTTGAAGATTCTCCGTCCTTTAGGATGGACGTTCCAGATTCTTACTAGTTCCCCAACACCCAAAAAAAAATTAATGGAATTATTACAGTAAAATACAATGAAATGGTTGAATGTACTGACTATTTTAACTCATGTTAAAATGTGGCCTGTGCGATTATGTAGTTTGTATAATACAGTAACACTTTTGGAGTGTTTCTACTTGCATGAATTGATTGAAATTGATTATAAGTCGTTTTTAAATTTTTTACTCGTTTCTTTTTTTAATAGATTTCCATTCTCCTATGGACCCAAAGATTCATTATTTTTTAGCTTTGGGATATGAATATATGATGGCATAAAACAAATTGACTTTTTAAGTTGTCTATGCTTTTTGCAATTGTAAAGTAATAGTTACTCAATGCAATTTTTGACGCTTATGATTTGTTTTAAACATAGTGGTTGATGCATTGGGATAATGTTGTTGTATCTTTTTTTTATAGAAAATGTTTACTATCTTTATATACTTTCTTTCACAAAAAGTTCTGTATGAACGATTTACAAAAAATGATATGAACTTTACATCCATAAAAAAATCACTCTTAGCCTCTTAAGAAACAATTAGGCTTAAGGCACACCACATTTGGCACTATCTTGTGTGGTGAATTGGTGATGTTTGTAATAAAGATAATGTCAAAAATAATGTAGAAATAATTTTTTTTAAACCTAGAGACTAGATTAGTCATCTAATTTGATTTTTTATGTAGGCTAGATGAATTTTGATTTTTAATTAAATAAAAATAGAAATATACATAATATACAAATAATTTTATTGAATTTATAATTTAAATCATTTCATTTTATTCATTAGAAATATAACTTTTATTATCAAAATTTCTAATATATTTCGTAATTTTCATGAGTGATTGTATGATGGACTTAAGGTCTACATGAACCTTCTTACATATTTTTAATTTTAAAAATGCTTATTTCAACAACTAAAAATACTTATTTAAAGTTCACTATATATCTTATGTGTATGTAATAATTTGTTAATTTTTATTTATTGTGTGTTACACACATGGTGTACAAACTACAAAGTGGTATCCTTAGCACAACTTTAAATTTCTGTTATTTCTACATAAAAAGCTACACTTTTGTATGAAAATATTTTCCCATTTGATTTCTTTTGTCAAAGTTTGTATATTTTGAATCTAATATATGAAAAATATACATTGTATTTTGATATAAATTTAATATAAATATATTTTTATTGAAATATAGTTTTTTAAGTATCAAATTTATATAAAATATATTTGTGTATAGATATAGATATTAATAGTCTAAGTGAAATGAGTAATATTAACAAGTGGATAAAGAAAGTATGGAGTGAAATGATGGGCATAGAAAATGAGGTCTGGCATTACTCTCTCCAGTCCTCACTAACCTTCTTCGTCCCTTGTTCAAGACCGATCAACGCCGGTGCCCCTCCAGCAGCCCTGTGGTTCGTCGGAGCAGTTCCAAGTGTTTTCTCCCATTCTCTTACAGTAGGTAAACAACTTGTCTTCCCCAATTTTATAGACCGATCTGAAGCTTTTATTGTCGTCATGCTCTTTTGTTCATCTTCTATTCTTCTTCTACTGCTAATCTGGATTGAATGTTGCTGTGATTCGAAAATCTGCTCTTATGAACTTATTTTCAGTTAATTTAAGATTACAACAAAACTTTCGTATTGGGAAACTACATAAGCCCGATGAAATTGTCTAGGGTAAAGGGTTTAGACTGGATGTTTTATGAGTGGAAGATACATTATTCCATTTGAAGGCTTGAATTTATGTATATTGAATGTTTCCTGAATGTTTGTGTTATTGCCCAAGAGAAGTAGAAATAACTAGGGAGTATCATTGGTTTTGTTTCCTACTATTTCCACATTTCCACCAAGATGCCTTATGTTTGATTGTTTTTTGCATAGGTCAAAAATCACCTCAAGGATGCTGGTCGAGTGCATTGCGTGGGTTTTGGCCAGTTTGCATCTTTTGTGTTCCCTCCGAAGTAAAAACAAAGGGCTTGTCCATTTCCCAGACGATATCTTAATAGATGTTTTGAGCAGGCTTCCTGCCGACGCTATTCAACAGTGTCGCAGAGTGTGTAGACATTGGAGGACTCTGACTTCATCGACTTATTTCAACATGCTGCAAAGCCAAAGAGCTTCCTCTGCTCATGTGCAAGGTACGCCCTGTGACTTCCCTTACAAAAATGATTATTATATATATATGATGCACTTGCCAAAAGGTCAATGAAGGTTACTTCAAGTCCAAGTTTGACTTTAAGGGACATGCCAAAAAGTTTAGAAATATTTCTTTACGCGGTGCTTGTTGTCCGTTACTTCATATTAAGGCTTGGGCATACTACAACTTTTCCTGGCCTGTACATGACTTTGCTTTCAACCTCATTACTCTGACAACTAGGAGCTTTTGACAAGAGAAGGAACGTTTATGTGTACAATTTTGATTCCCACACTGATGGGGAAATTGCATGTAGCCCTTTTCTTTGTGGGCCGTGGTCAAGTAGATACCCAGTTGTCGCGACCCAAACTCTGTATTTGATTGTGTGTCCTATTGAAAATCCCATAAACCATTGCATGTACGTGGTACTTGTGTTTTAGATGGAGACTTGAATTTTCTACACTTTGCCTCAACCAGAATTGAAATGCCATGATACAAGACTTTGTCATTTAATCATGTACTTTTTTTGTTCATGATGGCCATTTCTGTCTTTGTCGTACTTCCTGGACTCTGGACATGTGGGTTTTGGAGAATTATGCCAACTGGTATTGGCTCCAACTGTCTAGGATTGGTCTCCCTATTCCTGTAGGGGACAATTAGGGTGTTCCATGATTTTGTGATCCTTAGGGTTCAAAAGGACGAGTTCTTAGCATCTTGGTTTTTAAAGTTTATTTCTTGTCAACTTGAAGGATCAGACAGTTGATAAAATTAAAATGCCATATAATAGGGTCATAATTTCCTCTCTTTTGCGACTCCACGTCTTGGTTAAAAAGGAAGGGGAACCTCAATCCTATAGTCTCTAATAAGTGTGCCATTCTGCCATAGAGTCAGAGTCTCATTCTTTGAATTGTGCAATGGCTTTTTAGTTGTCTCATAGTGAATGAGTAGTCATTTGTTTCTTCTTTTATGCACTAGTCTCTATTTGTTTTTTTGGCAGTTGATATGGCCACGCTTGAGAGGTCCATTTCCAAATACGAAAAGGAAGCGCATGAGTTGAAGAAGGAGACGCCGATCTGGTGGCACTGGCCAACAATGTGATAAGTGGACTGAGACAGAATGTGAACCAGATGCTTGTCGTAATGATGGGACTGGCCATAAATCACCAGTTTGGAGAGACGGCTGTTGAAAAGGGGACACTGGTTTTCCGGCTCTTGTTTCTTTTTGCAGCGTGCTTACTTCTGGGCTTGACATCTTTCTTGATTAGGTTCATGGACATTGGGGGTGACCTCAAATATGTTCTGAACAGAAGCAAAACCGTGAGAGAAGCATTCACCAGATGGCTACAGGGTTTGGGCCCTGATCAGGCAGCTGTTTTGGGTCTGCGTGCCGTGCGCCTGGAACAAGCCCTCAATGGAATTGGAGACTTCAGGAGGGGGTATTACCTTCAAGCTCTCTTTACTTCCCTCGTGGCTTTGTTTCCGATTTTGATGATTATATTCCTTTAGGATCCTGCCCACGCCGGCTTAGGAGTCTAATCATGCATCTAATCTACCAAGCTAGTTTAACAATCTAATCTAGTCACAATGGTCTCTCTCCCACCAGAGTATTATTTACATATTAATTTTTGTTGCGACATATAAATTATACGGAGTATTACTTTGGTGGCCTTGTTGAGGACTAACGTTTTAATCTCCAAAATATAATTGTAATGGATTCTGATCAGTCAACCGTTGGTGGTCTGTGAACCATCGGTCAACGTTGAATCGTTGATGACCACTTGGGTGAATGGCAGAGGTGATACAAAGGCAAATGTAGGGGTGTAAACGGATTTTAATCGGATCGGATGTGCCATTACCAAATCCGTATCCGTTTATTTTTGTCGGATATCGAATTCGGATACGGATCTTGACGGATATTGAAAAATCAAAATCGTATCTGCATCCGTCGGATATCGGATGTATCCGTATCCGTCTCCAATTTTTAAAACTAAATTAAACAATACTTGAATTTTCAATTAAACTAAATTAAAATATTATTAAATCAACTACTCCATCCGTCCAAAATTAAAGTTCCCACTTTCCTTTTTGGTCCGTCCACAAATAATATTCCCATTTCCTTTTTTAGTAAGTTTTACGAGGTTAAAAGACAAAACTACCCTCCTCCATTACATTTCTTTTTCTTTTTCCTTTTTTCTTCCTTCCCGCCTCGTCAGCCGCCCTCCCCACTCTTCCTCCTCTTTCCTTCTTTTCTTTCTTTTCTTCCTCTCAATTCCGTCTTCTTGTTTTCTTCTTCTTCATCATCTTCTTCTTCTTTGTCCTTCCATCTTCTTCTTCTTATTTCTTCTTCATTTTTTCTTGTTTTTCTTCCTTCTTCTTTCATCAATTAAAAGAAGAATTTTTTTTTTCAGATCTGGTTGCATCTTCGTCGGATCTAGATTTGGAGGAACAAATTTTTTTATTTTTTTCCAGATCTATGGTGGGATGTTGATTTTCTTCCCTAACGAGAAGTCTAAAAATAGATCTTTGAAGGCGGGGGCTTGTGACGGCGAGAGAAGAAGTTGTGACGGCGAGAGGGATGCTAGGGGCTGCGACGGCTGGGCGCTGCGATGCCCGGAGCTTTCGACGGCGGGGATGCAAAAGCATCATCGACGGCGGTGCAAAAGCGGCGGAGGCAGCGGTGCAGAAGCGGCGGCGGCAGTGCAGAAGCAGCGGCAACGGCAATGCAGAAGTGTCAGCGTCAGTGGTGTACAGGGGTAGACGGCTCCAATGGGGTGTACAGGGGTAGCAAAGATGAGGGGCATAAAGGGAAAGTCAACACAATTTTCATTCCACCTAAATTTGCGCACCGAGTCAAAGTGGGAACTTTAAATGTGGACGGAGGGAGTATAATATTTTATGGGATATTTATTTTCTTAGTTTATGATATTCTACTTAGTTTTGTAAATCTTTTGATGTAATTTTTAATTATATAATTTTTATCTTTAATGTTATGTTATTCTCCATATAATATGATTTGAAAATAATTTGTGTCAAATATCGTAAATCGAAATAGACAATTTAAATTGGGACGAAGTGAGTAAGAAAGTACCCAAAATAGGATTTCCAAAAGAGAAGTTTGGATTATAACATTATAAAAGTGTATATACATAAGGAAAAAGAGTGATGGTAGTTGTGATGTTTCCAAAATGTCTTTTTTCTAACCAAAAAGACATTTGGGAATTTTTTTCCAGAAATGTCTTTTTTCTAACCAAAAAGACATTTGGGAAAATTTTTCGAGAATAGAGAGAGAGTACTACTCCCTCCGTTCTAAAACTTTCTTCCCAGAGCACTATTCCAAATTCACGAGAATTTATATTTATTTGTGTTTTTTCATGGCCTATATGATAAAATAAAATATTCTTGTCACCACTTGTTTTGTTGAACTTTTGATGTAGTTTTTAAATATGTATGTTTTATTTTTTATTTCTATACCAATATTTAAATAAAATAGATTGAAAAAACTTGGGATTTTTCTTCGTTTTGCGCAACGGGAAGAAAGTTTTAGGACGGAGGGAGTATTTAGATGTTGAAAAAAATGGGATGACATGAAATAGGGAGTAATTTAAAAACTGACGTGGAGAAGGGAGAAATGGAAGTGGGCTTAATTTGGTGATACATGTAAACTAATGGACAAATATTAAATGTTACACTCTCATTGACAGATATGTCGATATGGCCGAGTGGTTAAGGAGACAGACTCGAAATCTGTTGGGCTTTGCCTGCGCAGGTTCGAATCCTGCTGTCGACGATTTCTTTTTCTTTTTTGGGTAGAGAAAGCATTATAACCCACACCAATTTTTGGTCAATCTATTTTAAATAATCTAAATTTTAATCAATTAATGAATTGTTCCAACAAAACATTATTTATTTAGAGCATCTTTTTTAAATTTTAAATTCTTAACTTTTAGTTATTATTATATTCATAAATATAATTTTTAAATTAATCTAATTTTTTATTTTTCCTATGTCACTATTTTTGTAATTCATACTCATTATTTTTTTTCCATTTTATAATATAAATAATACGTAGTACGGAGTATAATTTTATTGGGAAGATTATTTTTTATTAATTTACATGACACTAAATTATATTTCATAAATTATGAATATTTTATTACTCTAAAGTCTAAATTGGCCTATGAAAAACATTAACATTTTTTAAGAAAAAAGATACGGAATAATTATAATACTCATTGTGTCCCAAATTGAATAGCATGTATAGTACTCCGTATTTACATAATCATTTTCTTTACCTATAATTGTAATAATAGTAACAACAACAACAAAGACAACAATAATTATAATAAGAATAATATGTAAAATACCTTAAAAAAAATTTTAAGTTCTAGTTTCTTCAACTCTAATTTCTTCTAGTTTCTCAGTTTTTTTTAGTTTTTTTAAATTTTTTCCAACATCCAATTTTTTTTATAGCCCTAAACAACATGATTTTAGTATATTCATTAATGAGAAAGCGTAATCATACACTATTAACTTGATACCCGGTATAAGATTATGACACCAACTCAATTGGCACTCCTACCGTATTTTGATTAAAAATTGATGAGTATTACACTTCTAACTTTTTCGATAAACCCCTATAATTGTCATCATTCATATTACTAGTTTTCTAAATCTTTTAATCGAGTTTTAAAATATGTAATATTAATCGAGTTTTTGTAAGCCTTATTTTGAGAATAAAATATAAAATTTTTATTTTAATATTTTCTTTATATTTTATATTTAATTTAATTTTTTCTTATATTTTACTATTTTATGAAATAATCAATAAAATGTAGAAATAGTAAAAAAAAAAAAGTAATGTGGGAGTAATTTTATTTATGTTACGGAGTATATTGTATGGAGATGGAGATACTTCATATGACGGTGAGATAAGAAGAAAAGAGAGCTTCGGATTCTGCACAGAAATGTCGACTTCGTCTACTCCATTAGAACCAGAACCATATCTTCTCAAGGAGAAGAAACTGAAACTCCCGCTTCTTGCCTTCCTCTTTCTGCTCCTCTCCCTTCTCACCTTTTTCCTCATCTCCAACTCTCAGAAGTCTCCACTCTACGCCGTAGACTTCCCCCGGCCCGGACCCGACTCCAAGCCCGCCATAATCCCTATCCATTCCGCTCCAGCTCCTCTCCTGCCTCCCTCACTTCCGCAGCAGTCGCCTGATTCCGTCTCGATCGACCGCCGTGAAAGCGTCCCCGCCGAACCGGATGCCGATCCGATCCGGTGGAAGCTGTGTGACGGCGCTGTGGCTGTTGACTACATCCCGTGCCTTGACAATTGGAAAGCTATAAGCGCACTGAAGTCGCGGAGGCACATGGAGCATCGGGAAAGGCACTGCCCTGACCAGACCCCCCGGTGTTTGATTCCACTTCCGGTTGGTTACCGGGTTCCGGTGCCGTGGCCCACGAGCAGGGACATGGTGAGATTGTTATCTTGTTTATGGTAAGAAGATAGGTTATCTAAGTATTATACTGTTGATGCATCTTTATGATTTACCTGGTCATTCAGTTCTACTTAGCAGTTAGCACCATATTTCTTATAATATTTGGATCAATCTTGCTTTTATCCTATTACCATATGAATAATGATGTGTCTTGATTAGCATGAAGCCAAGAAACTAGTAAGGAACTAGTAGTAAGTCACTCATTTGATGCAGAGTGCACTTTTAACTTCTCACAGATTTGGTATAACAATGTGCCACATCCAAAGCTTGTGGATTACAAGAAGGACCAGAGATGGGTGGTCAAGTCTGGGGATTATTTTGTTTTTCCAGGTGGGGGCACTCAATTCAAGGAGGGAGTGAACCACTATGTCGAATCTATTGAGAAGGTAGCATAATATAACTAGTTTTAAACTTTTTTAAAAAAATTATTACCATCTAGCCTTTTTGCATTCTAAATCTGTTCGTGCTGGTTTTCTCTTACACAGAATTTACCAATAATTAAATGGGGAAAGAACACAAGGGTCATTCTTGATGTTGGCTGTGGTGTTGCTAGCTTTGGTGGGTTTTTGTTGGACAAGAATGTGATTACAATGTCATTTGCACCAAAAGATGAACATGAGGCTCAAATACAGTTTGCACTTGAACGGGGTATCCCTGCTATACTTTCAGTAATTGGAACTCAGAAGCTTCCATTTCCAGATAATGTGTATGACTTGATTCATTGTGCACGGTGTAGGGTTCATTGGGATGCTGATGGTAAGTACATTGAATGTGAGTTGTCACTTTCTTAGGCCTTGCTTGGTAAAATTAATCAGCTTGTTCTTCTAATCAGCAGAGAGTTCTAAGAATCCAATCATTTTATCCAAATAACCTTTACCAATAACCAAATGAGCTGGTGTTTCCCTAACACTATGTTTGGCTCAAGGAATTTGGAAGGAAAGGAAAAGAAAATGGTTTATTTTCAATTTCTTCACCAAAATGGAAGGAATTTGGTTTTTCCTCCTCTTAGTACATTTTGCGCATTTTTGCCCTCTCATTTTCTTTTTCTCTTACTTTTTCTTTTCTTTTCCTCTCCAACCGAACAAGAAAAATTGTTTTCCCTCTCATTTTATATTTTTTCCCCTTCAAATTCCTTGAACCAAACATAGTGTGAAAATTTTGCATCTAAATTGAGTACATATTTGTTTGCAGGTGGGAAACCATTGATGGAGCTAAACAGACTTCTTAGGCCTGGAGGGTTTTTCATATGGTCTGCTACGCCAGTATATCGGGATGATAAAAGAGATCGTCAAGTCTGGGAAGGTCTTGATTCTTTCCTGATGGGAGAAGGTTTTTTTATTTATGTATTAATCGCTCTTTGTTAGGCATATACTAGAAAAGTGGAAATTTACAGCATGATTTGTTAACTTATTTTTTTCTATACAATTTTTCATCTTCATTTTCTTTTCAACAATCTAAATGTAAAAATAAATTAATGGAGTAGCCAAAAAAGGGTTTAATTAACATTGAAATGAGTCATTTAACAGAAAATATCTTTCCCTTTTGCAGCCATGGTTTCTCTGACTGCAGCTTTATGCTGGAAGGTAGTGAAGAAGACCTATGATACATCTACTTCAATCGGGATGGTTATATATCAAAAGCCTACTTCACCGTCCTGTTATATGGGGCGTAAAGAAAACAATCCTCCTCTTTGTGACAAGACCAATAGGGTAAATAGTTCATGGTATGCGTACACTGTATTTGAATGGTCATGTACTCATTATTGATTTTTTCCCCCAACTTCTCAATTAAGAGTACTTTTGGATTATTGAAAGGGGGAAAAGTGCTAAAAATGTACAGAGTATTTTTTTATGTCAGTTTAATTTTGCTTTAACATATGCTGCATAGTATTTATATACGGAGTAATAGGTTTAGAACAACAGACAAACAAACAATCAAACCCACAATTCTTGGGAGTCAACGACTCAACAAGCAACCCCCCCCCTCCCTCCCACCACACATTTTCATTCTTTCCTATATGTTTTCTTTTCTATATTCTTCCTTGGGATTTTCTATGATCCAAGCGGACCCTAATTCTTTCATATTCTATCTATTAGGTATGCACGCCTTGACAGCTGTTTACCCCAACTTCCAGTAGCGAGCAACGGAAATTTGGACATGTGGCCTGCCCCTTGGCCCACAAGACTCAGCAGCAGACCTCCAAACCTGTCTTTAGTAGGTGCTGATGAAGAGACTTTCAATAAGGATACCAAACACTGGGGCACACTTCTCTCTGATGTTTACCTAGGAGGACTTGACATAAACTGGTCAGCCATTCAGAATGTAATGGATATGAATGCCGGTTATGGAGGGTAAGATGGATACCACATTGTGTGTACAAGCGTGTTTGGTGGGTAAATTTGGATGAAATACCATATGTAATTAACTTCTTTAATTATTATTATTATTTTTATTATTATTATTTTAATTACTAAACCTAGTTAATTTTTATTATAGACAAATAACATATAATAAGAGTCATGCTGGTCCAGCCACAACTTTTTATTTTTGTAAAGGTACAATTCTTAAAATCATGAAATCATACTTAAAATTTCAAACTAATTTTTTAGTTTAAGTGAACTTCTCAGTTATCACATTTGAATTGCAATTTTTATAGGTTGGAAAATACATGAAAATTTAGATTTGTTTTCTGATATACTCCCTCCGTCCCAAAAAGTTTGTTACGTTTAGAAAAAACTGTGTCCCGTAAAGTCCGTTACATTTCTATTAAAAAAACACTTTTACCCCTTACTTTTTCATACCCTACCTATCACACCATACCTTTTTCCTAATAATCTACCTATCACATCCTACTTTTACCCATCACATCAAGGGTATTTTTGGAAAGTCAATACCAAAATATCCCTCCCTTAATTTCCCAAAAAGTCAAACCGTCCCATTCTTTTTGGGACGGAGGGAGTACATGGGTAAGATTATTTTTTTTGGGTGAAGAGCATCTAAAAATTGAGTGAAGTGTCATTTCTTCTCATTTCATTTAGAAGAATAGCTTTTGCACTTCTTTTTTTGAATTACTCAAAGATTCAAGGTCCAATAAGTTATTGTTTGGTTGGAAATTTTATTGATAACAGCATAAGAAAGGAATTGCTTCTCCTTTATTACTTCTGCTTTTGATTGTGATGGTGATCCTCTGTTGTGTTCACAGGTTTGCTGCAGGGTTAGTTAACTTGCCCTTATGGGTAATGAATGTTGTTCCCATCAGTGCGCCAGATACATTACCTGTTATATTTGATAGAGGATTGATTGGAATGTATCATGATTGGTGTGAATCCTTCAATACCTATCCTCGCACATATGATCTTCTACATGCTAGTTTCCTCTTTGGAAAGCTAACTCAAAGGTATGTCTTGTACCTTATTAGGTCCCTTCTTGAAGCAAATATTGATCTTCTTCTTGTAGGCTCTTAATGTGGTTTGACTTGGACTATGTTTACCACACAAACCCTTTTTTTGGAAATTTTGGAGGGTTTAGGTTCGGAATATTTTATTTTGGACACAATTAGTCCCAGGGAACAGGGACAGATTTGCAGTGTAATCGATTTAAAAAATCTGAACCCACCAAGTATGGAAGTCCGGAGGTGGGCCACACACATCAATATCCTTCCTAATTTGCATCTTCAAGCTTTACCTAGAATGACATTTACCTTGATTCATGTTATGACCATGGTTCTTAAAACGACAACACATGCTCTGTTTGATCCGGAGGTGGTTCGTACCCCCAGCCCCCTAGTTTGCCAATACGTTACACTGTAACATATCGGCGAAACAGGGTCAAAAGAACACCATAGGACCCTTAATTCAACCGGTGTTATGACATCGGGGAGTGGGTGTCAAAAGATCCTGCCTCTCATGTTATTTGCTTTGTTTATAATATTTTGTTTTTTTTTATTTCCATTGCTCCGTATGCTTCAGATGCAACATAATAGACATGGCTGTGGAGGTGGATAGGATATTGAGACCAGGTGGGATTCTTTTGGTTCAAGACACCATGGATTCGATTGCGAAGCTCAGCCCAATTCTACACACCCTCCACTGGTCAGTCACTTTAAACCAGCAACAGTTTCTTGTTGGCAGGAAAGGCTTTTGGCGCCCCGATGAAAAGACCAGATTATGAACACCCCTCCTATATAGTACACATATACACACTAGCTTTTTTGTTGTTTCTCCCTTCTGCAACTTGTGCATCAATAACTGTTACAACTTTTTTTCCCATTTATGGACACTATGAATCCCACAAAAAACGAGTCTCGGATTGATGAGAAATAAGAGGAATAATCATATGCGTCTTAGGTCGACATTTGTTACTCTGTATTTGTGTAGGGATGGGCATAGTTCCAATTCTCTGTCCCAAGGCAAAATGGGAAGGTGAAAACTCAAAACATTTTTACTGTCTTTGACTGTGTGAAGTTAAATTGAAACTTTAATACTGGGACATGGGAAGTCATAGTTATATAACATTATAATGTTCATGTTCTAGTTCTATCAAATACTCCATCCGTCCCTAAAAGATCTTACCTTTTCATTTTTTTTGTTGTACTTAAAAGATGTTCCCTTATCTATTAAAAAACCACTTTTATCTCTTACTTTTTCATACCTTATCTATGACATCATATCTTTTTACTAATAATTTATACATCACTTTTTACTTTTATCCATCACAACAACAGTATTTTTGGAAAGTCAAAACGAAAACATCTCTCCTTTTAAATCTTTGAAAAGTCAATAAGAGAAATGTTTCAGTGACGGGAAGTAAAAGATTGAAATGGGTATTGGGACCGCTTAAGAGTTTGTGAGGGAATCATTTCACAGGAACCAAAATTGTTAGCCTAATGAACTAGAACCAGGACCACTTTACACATGGTTTTGGACTCTTGGTTTGAGTTGGTTCAAAAAAAGGACCACCTTACCTTCTCACCCCGCCGGTTTAAAAAATTTACAGTAGTTTTCTAAGATATAAACATCTACGGAGTACTATACTACGGAGTATTATTATTTTCTCCGTCCCAATTTAAATTATCTTCTTTGGTTTATGGTTTACGATGTTTAACTGAAATTATTTTTAAATTATTTTATATAAAAATGGTGTAGAACTAAAAAATTAAAATTACATATTTAAAGACTAGACCAAAAGATCTACAAAATAGTTGTGACATAATTATATTATTTTATGAAATGACTAGGGAAGATATAGAAAGAAAATGAATAAAAATTTGACTATGTGAATTGCAAACATGCAATTTAATTTGGAACGGAGGAAGTATAATATTTGAGCAGATAATGAAAATATAAATAGGGTAACAAATTTTTATAATTAACAAACGAGATAATAATTATTTAACTTTGAAATTTAAGGATTTTATTAAAATTTAATAAAATAATGATTAGTCACATTAGGTTTAATAATATGGTACATGTAAGTTCTCGTTTAGTAAAATAATGATGATTCAAGATAAAACTTAATACAATGAGATTTACGAGTTTTTAGTAGAAAATGTGGGGTATTTTGGAGTAAATTTTTAGATGCTTGATTAGTCAAAGTGATGAAACTTTCAATCTTAAGGCTATGTAGTATGAGGGGGTGATGGGTGATGATTGGATATAAATGGTATGATGTAGAGTGATGAAAAAATATGTGGTATGGTGGGATGAAGGGGAGTGATGAGCTCTAAAAGTTTGAATTATTTTCATTAATTGAGATGAAAGTGTGTTACATTTTGGTTGGTTAGAATATAAAAAAATAACAACAAATTGTCTCCCCGTTCACGCGGTGACGCCGGTCATCTTCAGAGGGGTCGCGCTCCTCTAATGTGGCATCGTGCATGCCACGTCAGTCACGTCCTATTGTGTTTAGTCTAACGACCAAATGAAATATACTCCCTAAGTATATTTCTGATAATGTAAAACTTAATACTACCTTCGCCACCTAGAATTTGTTCAATTTTAATTTTTTTTGTAGTCAATTGATTTTGACATTTGACATATAATTAAATAAAAAATATATTGCACATTAACGAGAAAAAAATATTTTGGAACATTTTATAAAATCAATCTAAAAAAGTTTTTTGTATCAATATTTAGTATGGAGTACTATTTTAATTTAATTTGTGGTTAAAATTTGTTAATTTTTTAAAAAATAAAAAATAAAAAATACTCCTTATTCAAAGACAAAAAAAATACTCCGTTCTTACAAAAAATAATTTTCTAGTCACTAGTCTACTACTCCGTACTGTTCTCCCAAGAGTTTTGGTGCCCACATTTTCCCGGGATAAAATTTAATTAATGACGAGTAACAACCCTGCATTAATTACAATCAAATGAGAATCAATCATTCCTTCCTTTATCGTCTCATCTTCGTCTTCCCGACGATCGGTGATGACAACAGTTCCTAGTCCACCCAGCACTGCTCCATGCTCCGCCAGACATTCTTGTCCTCGGACATCTCGAAACTCTATTTACATTTTATTTTTTTTTTTAAATTTTAAACAGAATCATCGGATTTGCTTGTGGTCGAAGTCAGTGACCCCCCCCACAATTCTCTGGCCCTAATGATTCCAGAAACACTTGGAGAACACTCAATTTTTTGTTTTCTTAAATTTTTAATTCTACATGTGTTGACGAGTTCAAGGAGATAGCTTCCAAGGGCGGATTGTACTAGATTCTTTCTGTGTATTGCTTTTGATACGAGGAAATGAGGAGTTTGAGGTTACTGGGGTTAGGAGAGATTCGCTCTGCGCCGATTTCACTGTTTTTGTTCCTCGTTCTGGTCCTCCGACATTCTTCTTCTTCTTCTTGCTGGTGTCTCACTGACAAAGGTTCGATTTCTCCCTCTTTCTCAATCTCTCTATTGTCGGTTTAATAATTGTATTCACATTATGGTTTATATCTGCTGCAGGCGTGGAATTTCTGAGATCTGGAGAGGAAATCCATTGTTCTTCCACTGAGTTTTATTGTTCTAACAAAGCAAATAATTTGTATCTGTAAGTTTTTTTTCCATCTTGTTTCCCTTTCAATTGGTCTAGACTAGTTTCAACTTCATTATAAAAGAGCGGAGAAATGCTAGAGTCACAAACAAGTAGTCACAAAATACACAAACTTGCCATTTCTGGATTGAAATTTTCACTTTTTAATCATCTCGAATGGATATGGACATGCATCATGTCCACATTCATTTGATTCTTATAGATGATCCTTAATGTGCGCTCCACATATGCAGAAAGCCACAAAGGACACATATTTAAGAAGGGATAGAGTTTATTTTAGTTATTGTTGCTTGCTTCTTTCATAATTCATGTATAATTTAATCTATTCTTGCTTGTTTTTTAATTGTTGCTTGTCTTCATAATTAGAAGTTTAAACTTGTTGTTTCAAAAAAAAAAAAGTTTAAACTTGTTGTCTTGATGCTTCTTTGGTAAAGGGATATTTCACTAAAATTGTCTAAATAAAAAAAACCCTTACGTGAAATCATTATAAGCCAAATTTGTAAGTTAAGGACTACTTTTTCTGCTCATAAGTTGCATGATCTGATTAATGCTACCAATCAAGACCTAATCAAGACCTGATTAATTCAGTTCCATACTTCCAAACGATGCCCAAGAAAAAAGTGTCGGGTAACACTCAAATTCGATAAAATAAGTCAAAAGCGGTTTATTTTGCTTATATATATGTGTGAAATTTGTCGGCTTTAATACCAAAACTTTACTTTTTTGACAATTGCCTATAACCAACCTTTCAGATGTTCTTAACTTCATCACATATGCTGGCTGTGTGTGTATGGTGCAGGAGGAGCATGGGAAAGCCCAGAAATTTAGCCCACAGGAAATTGATGGAAGCATCAACCAAAAGCACATTCAACTCCCTATTTATGGCAACCATAGATTCTGTTTTACACACTACACCCTCACAACTATCTACCGTGCCAATGTGGGCCCATGCCCCTGCTCCTTCTGTTACGCCATCTCCAGTCCCTGCACCTGCAATGCCACTCAGCTCTTTTTCCGAAAGTTTCATCACAAAAGACCATCAATTATTGACATTGTTTGCAATAACAGGCGGTTCCCTTCTGGTTTTTGTTGTCTTGTTCGCTTGTTTTTTGGCATTTTGTCGCAAGGGCAAGATGGGCGTCGTCAAACCTTGGGCATCTGGCTTAAGTGGACAGTTGCAGAGAGCATTTGTGACAGGTGGTTTTATTTCTGCTCCAACTGTTGATTAGTGTCATCCATCCACATAAATTTTCATTTTCTTGAGTTATCTCATTTTGTGCCTTTTGATTTAAACTAGGTGTGCCAAGTCTTAAGAGACAAGAACTTGAGATTGCTTGTGAAGATTTCAGCAATGTTGTTGGTGCTTTGTCATTTTGTACCCTATACAAGGGCATATTGTCTAGTGGAGTAGAGATAGCAGTGATATCTTTCCCCCTCGCGTCTGCTAAAGATTGGTCAAGAGATCAAGAAGCCCATTTCAGAAAGAAGGTAATATAATATGGTCAATCTTCGACATTAATAGAGATTAAGTCTGCGTACACACACACTACAACCTTCCCCAAAACCTACTTTTTATGAGAATTTAGTATTTTACTGGCCTTGTTACTGTCATAGGCAAAAATGGTAGTTGCATTTTCTAAAAGGGAAAGTGTAAAGTAACAACTATTTCAACTAGATATATAGGTAGTTAATTCTCTTATAAGAAGAATAGATGCATTATTATTGTGTGATTGCTATGGTTTTCAGATTGATAACCTCTCAAAAGTGAACCACAAGAACTTTGTAAACCTCATTGGATTCTGCGTGGAAAGGGAACCGTTTACGAGGATGATGGTCTTTGAATATGCTCCCAATGGAACACTTTTTGAACATTTACATTGTAAGTGACCTCTTCTACTCCCTCTCATAAATCATTAATCGTTTTCCTAATGAGTTTAACATTGTATTCCTTAAAACTCATGTATGATGCATCGGAAAGTTAAACAAAGCACATCGTATTAAACACATTTTTTACTTTTCTTAATAAATGAGCCTTAACAGGTGCAATGTTGCACCGGTTAGAAAAGCCGTAAATCAATATGTGAAAAGTTGCTTAATTGACCGTAGCTTAGCAATTTCTTCTCGTATTCACATTTAACTTATCATTATGATTGTTTGCCGTACATCAAATGTTATAAATGCATATAGACATGATGTGTGTCCATGTTCATTTAACTTTTGATTTATCACAAAAACCATAAAGGTCAGTCAAATGCAAATGAAGGGTACATATTATTCTGACTTAGATTCTACCACCTCATTGTCCTCGTGCCTATAGGTAAGGAGGCCGAGCACTTGGACTGGGGAATGAGAATGAGAATCGTAATGGGCGTTGCGTATTGCCTCTCCTACATGCACCACCTCTCGCCGCCGGTCCTACACCAGAACCTGAAGTCCTCGGCAATACATCTTGCCGAGGACTACGCGGCCAAAGTGTGGGACTTTGACTTTCGGGGGGACGAGTTAGCTCACAACGATGCTGACTCGTCGACTCCACAGAGCAACGTGTACAACTTTGGCGTCATTCTTCTAGAAGTAGTAATGGGCCGGCAACCGAAAGCCCTCAAGGACTTTGTATCAGAGTATCTCCATGGAAGAAAGCCCCTGAGGGAAATGGCTGATCCAAGTTTAGGTTCATTTGAAGAAGAACAAAATCAACAAATGGATGAAATTGGCGAAGTGATTAAATTGTGCCTTCGTCTTGGGCCAAGACTGAGGCCCACAATGACTGAAGTCTGTGGTAGGCTGAGAGAGATAACTGGGATTGGGCCTGATGGGGCTGTCCCTAAGGCTTCTCCTCTTTGGTGGGCCGAACTTGAGATCTTATCCGCACATGAGACTGTTTAACTCAATGATTTCTTGTATAATACGGAGTAATTATATTTTTATTTATTTATTTATTAAATTAGGATGTCTGTAAATTCAAAGACGAGAAAAGGCTGGTGCTTATTCAATACAGTATTTTTTTTGGGTTTTGTAAAAACAAATTAAACTAAATTAATTAATTACTATAATTGATAGAATATATATATATATATATATATATATATATATATATATATATATATATATATATATATAATGCCACTACGGTACGACCCATAACTAATAGGAAGTAAATAAATTCTCCGTATTTAAATATTTTAGTCCTTCATCCATATCGTACACATTTTTACTAGACTTGAAGAATAAAGTAAAACATTTTCCCAATAAAAAAAACACTTTATAATTATACGGAAAAATGCGTATGCCTCCTAATTTAATGACTACTAGCCGTATCATATATCATGCACAAAATATCATTTATTATTGATGTTGACGATGAATTTATATATGCTCCGTATACCTACTCTGAAAAAGAGCTTCACATAGAGAAACAATTATACCGTACATTATATATTTATATTGTTTGCTATATTTTTTTTACTCTTTGAATTATTTTATTTTTTATACTTCCTGTCCCCGGAAAAAAATACGGTCGAGTACGGAGAATATATTTTTAGTTTTACAATATTCAAGAAAAGTGTAAAATATAGACAAATGTACTCTCTCCGGCTATCCCAATTTAATTTGTCTATTTATTATTTATATAGTTAAATTTTAATTACATATTGACACATTTTCGGTACTCATTTGATGAAATTATATAGTCTTGTACGGTCACCTCTTATTTTCTAAAATTTTAATTTTGACGTAGTTTTTAAATATATAAATTTTATTATTTTAATTTTTTTAAATCAATTTTTCAAGTAAATTAAATTGAAAAATAATTTTAGTCAAACCTTGTAGATTACAACATGTGGCTCTTTTATGGACGAAGAGAGTAAAAAATATTGTTAAATTGGGATAAAAACTCAAATCTGCACAAAACAAAAAAGGGGTGAATCTTATCTCCGAGGGTCTCCTCATTCATAGTCGAGGAGCCACTGAGAAGATGTAAATTAGACTTTGATCACAAATTAGCAACATAAAATAAAGTCTGCACTTGGTACTTGCAAAGGTTCTATGTTTATCATAATTATCTCTCATCACAATTTTCTAGAATCGAACTCGGATTTTACTCTCTTGGCACTTCTTGCTTTTCTAATTGCGTAAGAATATAAAGTGAAATCTTATACTCCCTCCGTCCCAAAAAGATTTACACCTTTCAAAAAAATTGCGTCCCACAATCTCCTACCCATTTCTATTAAAAAAACCACTTTTACCCCTTATTTTTTCAAACCCTACCTATCACATCATATCTTTTTCCTAATAATCTATACATCACATCATACTTTTACCCATCACATTAAGGGTATTTTTGGAAAGTCAACACAAAATTATCCCTCCCTTAATTTCAACTTTAGTCAAAACGTGTAAATCTTTTTGGGACGGAGGTAGTAGATGAGAGGAGTACACAATACCCATTTTATAGCACAATTTTTTAAAATAGATTTTAGTTTTTTTGGATTTTATTGTTACAAAATAAGTTGACATTTGAGCAACCAATCATAAAAGTATGATAAGAGGCAAAAATAAGCTAGAATAAGACGATGTTCTCTTCAAATTATTTTTATTACTTATTATTTTTTCTTATTGGAATCAGATCAGACCAGATCAAATATAGTTTTAAGTGTAACTATATTCAAATCAGATGAGATCAAATCACATCAGAACTAAGGCCATGTTCGTTCACCTGATCTAATTGGTTCTAATCTTATGGGAAAAAGTTCTGATCTGATCTGAAAGTAGTTATCTTTAAAACTATTTCTGGATTGATATGATCGGGTCTGATCTGATCTGATCAACTTCCAATAAGAATAAGTAATAAGTTTGAAAATAAATTGAGGAGAAGATGACTCTATTTCAATGAGATCAGATAAGAGAACATAGCCTAAATTAAAGTAACATTAAAGGTCAGTGAAAGTCAACTCTTTTTTTGTAAAAGAGACGGAGTATAAGATATGGACGATATGAAGAAGTACGTGTGTGTGACATGAATATTTGGAAAAAATAAAATAAAATTGATATATGCATTATTATTGTTGTTGTTGTTATTACTATCGGTGGAGTTCTATTGACACCGATTTTTGGTGACACTAGTGATGCTACTGTCATTTTGAAACACTTTTGGTGCTCCATTTGTAAAATTGACGGTCCTACCCTCCTGACCCACCTCCTAAACACCCCAACCTACCCCGCCCCTGCACCCCAAACCGGTGTTGGAGTGGTTTCTAGTGGAGTAGTTTAAAAATAGGGGTACAAATTAGGTGAAGGCCGGTAATGAATTTGCACCAACTTCAGACCATTTAATTCAGGGCAGGCCAAATATGCGTTAGGAATTAGAAGCGGGTTGGCCCAATTTTAATAATACCTTCCCTTTCATTCAATTCATTTACTCCCTCTATCCTATATCTTTCTTCCCGTTGCGCAAAACGAAGAAAAATCTCAAGTTTTTTCAATCTATTTTATTTAAATATTGGTATAGAAATAAAAAATAAAACATACATATTTAAAAACTATATCAAAAGTTCAACAAAACAAGTGGTGACAAGAATATTTTATTTTATCATATAGGCCATGAAAAAACACAAATAAATATAAATTCCCGTGAAGTTGGAATAGTGCTCTGGGAAGAAAGATATAGGACGGAGGGAGTATTATTCTTCAAAATCATCCCCCGGGAAAAAGAAATTATTAAGTATCACAATTTTATTTCTAAAGAAAGAAAAGTGAGTAATTTTTTGGAACAAACATAAGGGAATACGTGAAACTTTTTTGTAAGATGAAGAGAGTATTTGTTTGGTTTATATTACCTATTATTATTCACTTGAATTTCTTTATTCACTTGTATTGAGTATTTGTTCAATTTTAATATTTTACAATCAACTAGTTTTAAATTTGACCTTGAATTAAATTAGATATAAATGATATTGTAATTAGATAAAACAATACTTTAAAAATATTTTATGAAATAAATATAATAAAATTATTTTGTATCAATATCTTATATAAATTTTATATAATTAGTGGTTAATATAAAAATTTAAAGCTAGACAAATTAAGTTAAGGAAAGGATAACTTTCTAGGCATATACTCCCTCCGTTCCACAAAACTCTTCCTCTTTCGTTTTTTTTGCTTTCCACAAAACACTTCTACTTTCTATTAAAAAACCACTTTTACCCCTACTTTTTCATACCCTACCTATCACATCATACTTTTTTACTAATAACCAAACTATCACATCTTACTTTTCCCATCACATCAGGGGCAAAATTGGAAAGTCAACCAAAATTACACTTTCCTTATTTTCCCCCAAAGTCAAAACCGGAAGAGTTTTATGGAACGGATGGAGTAGTTGGAAAGGAGTGGGTGTGCATATATGATATACTCTCTTTCCACCCATTAATCACACATCAATAGCTTACCTTTTTTCAACCATTTCTTATCAATTCTCCCTCTTTCAAATTCTGAAGTGCCTATTAGATAAGAATGTACCAAATAGTACCTTTGTCTCAATTTTTATACGGAATACTCCTTTCGTTTCTCCACTTTTTTCAGTCAATTTAAATAAAAATGATATTAGATATTCATACAGAAAATTTTTTGTTAGATTTATTATTTAAAATATTTTTAAAATATTATTTTAACTAAATAATATATAATATATATTTTATGTAATTATAGGTCAAACATTGTAAACAGTTGAGCGAAAAAAATAAAAAATGGACATGCACTCAGGGACGGATGTAGTACTCCCTCCGTCCCTAAATAAAGTTCTATTTTTGACTTTTTGAGAATTTAAGGGAGGAATATTTTGGTGTTGACTTTCCAAAAATACCCTTGATGTGATGTGTTAAAGTAAGATGTGATAGGTAGATTATTAGTAAAAAGGTATGATGTGATAGGTAGGGTATGAAAAAGTAAGGGGTAAAACTGTAAAAGGGGTTTTTTAAGGGAAAAGAGATATTTATTTAGGGACAAAGAAAAAACGAAAGATGAATTTTATTTAGGGACGGAGGGAGTACTATTTTTCCCGTTTTAACTTTCAACAGTAGTATTTATCTAGTTTTAATTTTTTTCATTTGGAATTCATAAAGATTGACCATCAATTAGATCAATTTTTTATTACTGATACAGTATATTTTATTTAATTAAAATACCATGTAATTGTTTTTAATTTTAGATTAAAAGTCAATTTTGGTTGACTGAAAAAAATCAAAAAACAGATATTTTGTGACATAAACAATGTTTTTAGACATGCCTAGAAGTTTCTACGAGAAGGATGTTACGAGAGAATTGATGTCTAAATTGAGTTATCGGATCCCAATATTAATTTTTTTGAGTGATGCTTACATAGTCTCAAATGTAAATCTTTTTATATTTTTCATGGACTTGCATGTATATATTTTTGTATAAGATCAACTTCTTTAATTTTATGCTACAAATATGTAAATAGACCAATCAACTATGCTGCAGAGAAGATACTGCAGCACTATCATACTAACAGATGACAGAGATTGTGCTATAACACATTTTGCGTCACAAGCACACACACAGAATCAGATGATGTAAAGGGTGTTACAATGCCTACTCAACAGAATGCTAATAAAGTGCGTAAAAAAGAACACCTAATATGTTTACGGAGTTCACTGAAACTGTCCTAATCTGTGGGGCCCACGTCCGTGTAATAGCCCTCAACTAAATCACTAGATGCAAGTTACTTCGATACATAACAACATGATGAGACACACTTCTCCGAATTGTTATGAGAAAGCTTCTAATCTAGGATTTCTAGTCCGAACCCTCCGCTTTGGCTATCGCATCTCCACGAAGATCACAAGGACAAATGTATTTGCAGCCCTCTTCTTAAGCTCTTGTCCATCTC